CCCTTAATTAGCTCGGCCCTCTGTCGTAGAAACATAAATCTGCAGGTGCCCTCTAGGAGTAGAGGGCTTTCTCAAGTGAGAGTTTCTCCCTGTTTTAATCTTTTTTAAAGAAAAAAAAAAAAATCAGGGGTGACTGGGAAGCTCAGTCGGTTAAGCATCCGACTTCAGCTCAGGTCATGATCTCACAGCCTGTGGGTTCAAGCCCCACATCGGGCTCTGTGCTGACAGCCCAGAGCCTGAAGCCTGCTTCAGATTCTGTGTCTCCCTCTCTCTCTGCCCCTCCCCGGCTCATGCTGTCTCTCTTTGTTTCTCAATAATAAATAAATGTTTTAAAAAAATTTTTAAAGAAAAAAATCAGACCACCAAACATAATTAAAGGGAGATAAGGAAATCCCCTCTCTGAGGCAGTAGGCCACTGTCTTGGGGAGAGGGTGAAGGATAAGTTCACTCAACCACATTCACTTAATAAGTACTGCCAGACACTATTAGGAGCTAGGGATGCACGATAACTTAAATATAGGTTGTCTTCCTGAAGCTGTCCTGTGCAGAGATCTGGTGGGGGTGTAATCGCAATGCAACCTGCAATATTTAAAAAACATGAAACATGAAATCTGAACAGTGAAAACTAGTGCTTGGGTCTCCCTGGGAGGGTCAGGAAGAGCTTCAGAGAGGAAGCTTCTGAAGGCAAAATTTGAGCTTACCAGCTAATCAGATGGGAGAGAGAGATCCAATGGGTGTATGCAAAGGAAGAGAGAGAGAAAAAAAGGCAGAGGCTCAGAGAAAACATCTAACAATTCAGTATCAGTAAAGAATAAAATGAATTTTTAAAAAGAATAAAATAAAATGAATGAGGTCAGGTAGATAGGCAGAGGGCAGAGCTCAGTCTTTTGTATATCCCACCAAGAAATGTGCCTTTGAGAATGATCACAGCAAAGCAGGGACTGGAGGGAGGGTGACTGCTAAGAAAAGGGGTAAACATGTCCAAGCAAGGAGGATTAAGGATCTGAAAGCAGACCAGGGAAGCAAGAATAGAAAGGAGACACCATATCAGAGACCAGCTATGAAGATGAATTTGTAGGGCATGACTGGGGGTGAAGAATGAGAAAGGAGGAAGAGACTAGAATCCCCCCAGTTTCTGGCCCAGGTAACTGAATGGACAGTGGTATGTTCACAGAGATAGGAAGCCATGGATTTGCTGGATGGAGTTGGAAAACCAGAGTTTGGAAATGCTGAGTCTGAAGTGGCTGGAACATCGAGGTGAAGGTGTGCCGTGGTACAATGAATACAAAGATCTGAAGCTCAAGCCAGAGGTCTAAGCTGGATTTAGAAAATCTGACGTCACTTGTATGTGAGCAGCGGGGGACGTGGATGAAATGCCCTAGACGGAATGGGTAGAGTGGGAAGAGCACCGTGGATGAGCGAGAAAACAGGCAGACAGCCAACAGAAGACTCGCCAACTTGAACAAGCACTCAGCATGCTATCATATTGGCTCAGGCAAGACAGACTGAGGGCTCGAAGCTGCTCAGAAGCACAGCTACACCAGATGTAGACAAGACTAAGTAAACAAAAGTACAATTCGTCCTCTGGTTTCCAGTTCCACACGCAAGGAGCTTGGAAGTAGCCACTCTGTCCCAACAGCAAGTGAAAAGCTGAGCAGACCGAAAAATCAACAACTCTTCTTGGACCCATAAGGCGAGGGGCTCCAGGGGGATCTAAAGAGACAGAGAGATGAATATAGGGAATCGACTTACCAGAGCAGAGAGTGAAGAGCAAAAATCACTGCAAGAGCCAGTGCCAGGATAGGAAAACTTGAACTGTGCTTGAGGAATTGATGGAGGTTCAGTGTGTATAAGTCTGAGAGGTAAAAACTCCAAGGAGTCCAGTCATAGAGAGGCCTCCACGATTCTGTGAGGCTCTCCTCCAAGAGCTCTGATAAACATCGGAGAAAAATCCCCTCTTGCTTCCAGCTGGGGAAGCAGACAAGGAACCATTTTGAAATTTGCCACAGCATTCACTTTTTTTTTTATTTTTTTTAATGTTTTATTTATTTCTGAGAGTGAAGGAGAGACAGCATGAGCAGGGGAGGGTCCAAGAGAGAGGGAGACACAGAATCTGAAGCAGGCTCCAGGCTCTGAGCTGTCAGCACAGAGCCCAACATGGGGCTCAAACCCATGAACTATGAGATCATGACCTGAGCCGAAGTTGGACGCTTAACCGACTGAGCCACCCAGGTGCCCCCCTCCTTTTTTTTTTTTTAATGTTTATTCATTTTTGAGAGAGAACATGAGCATGAGCATGGGACAGGCAGAAAGAGAGGGAGATAGAGGATTCAAAGTGGGCTCTGAACTGACAGCAGCGAGCCCAATGTGGGGCTTGAACTCACAAACTGGAAGTTCATGACCTGAGCCAAAGTCAGACACTCAACCTACTGAGCTACTCAGGGGCCCCATAGCACGCCCTTCTTAAAAAGGCCTGACCTCAAGTAAAACCAGTTAATGAGAGCCTAATCTGCTATGAATGTATAATCAGAGTGTAATCAACATGGGGTAAGGAAAATGGCCAAATCCAGTCCGCTCCATCCATCCTGTCCCATCTGAGAGGGAAGAAAAAACACTTGGGAAGTTCACAGTCCAAAGGTATAGGCTCAATAAAGGACTTAGACCTATCACAGGACTATAGAATGCTTCCTTTCCCTGTACACCTCACTCCCACGTCCCCAAAGGCCTATTTACAGCAACTCCTTTTACCCAGTGCATGTCCAGCTATGAAGGGAAAATTATAAGGCATACCACAAAGCAAAAATCACAATCTGAAGAGACTGAGTAAGCATCAGAATCAGGCATGGCAGGGATTGGAATTATCAGACAAGGAATTTAGAACAACCATAATTAATATGCAAAGGGCTCCAACGCATAAAGTAAATAGCATGTAAGAACTGATAGGCAATGTAAGCAGAGCTGAACAAAACAAAAGTATAATTCTATGTTTTAAACAGTTAATAGATGCAAATATACTCAGATATATTCAAATATGGTCTAGAAGTGTGTACACCAAGATGGGTACCATGTGTTTTTTTTAATACTCTGGAAGTATGGACAATTTTTTATGTTCTCCTTTTGTGCTTTTCTATATTTTCCAAATTTTCTGCAATGCATATGCATTGCTTTTGAAATAAATGTTTAAAGGCTTTTAATTTTTTTTAAAGAACTAAAGTTTATAGGAGTCTGAATCCACTGGAACTGAGACAGTGTAAGGTAGTTGAGACTGGCCCAACCATCTCAAAATCTAAACAGCTGTTAGTAACAGGGGACAGCAGAGGGACAGGACTCAGAAAATCAACCTGCTATAAAGAGAAAAGAATTTCCTGGTAAGCAGGATGGACCATGCCATGGTATCTTAGATCCAAGTATAATATAATCTCAAAGAAGAAAGAACAACAATTAGAAGAAAAAAAAAAAAACAACAACTGGAAAGACCATCCCTCATTATTTACACGCAACCATGAGTTTTAGAGGTCAGTGGCAAAGGTAAGAAGAAAGGTAGGTGTCAACTCCTCCCCCGAAACATAAGTGCTTTGCTGACTTCCAGATTAGTTAAGACTCAGAGAAGAAATGAAAAGTCAAATCACTTCAAAGTCACCCCTAACAATAAGGAGTTGAAATACATTCCTTACACAGCAAGTCAGGGCGGGGGAAGGGGAAGGGATGCTGGGATCGGCCCAAATGCTCTCTAACAGTTTGAAATCTGAGTCAAAAGGAGTGAGTGAAAGCAATAGGCAGAAATCAATCACATGCCAAGCAAAAGGCACAGAGCAGCCAAGGTAAAACAAGTGAGAGCATAATGGGATGGTTAATTTTATGGATCAAATTGGCTAAGTATGCTGCCCAATTATCTGGTCAAATACCAGCATAGGTATTACTATGAAAGTATTTTTTAGATGTGAATAATGTTTAAATCAGTAGACTTTCAGTGAAGCAGGTGACTCTTCATAATATGGATGGGCCTCACCCAATTATTTAAAGGCCTTAGGAGAAAAGGCAGGTTTCCCATACAAGAAGAAATTCAGCCTGAAGACTGCAACACAGAAACCCAGCCGAGGTGTCCAGCTTGCTGACGTACCCTGCAGATTTCAGGCTTGCGAGCCCCCTCACTGTGTGAGCCAGCTCCTTACAAAATAAATGACTCTCTCTCTCAATACAGATATACGTGTAGGCATACAGATACAGGTATGGATATAGATTATAAATATATAGAGGTACGTATACATACAAATAGATATAGATGCATACATAATACCTATATACACACACATATATAGATATAGCTACACAGATATATCCTAATACTTCTAATTCTCTGGAGAACCGTGATTAACACAGGTAATAAAAGATGAAATCTATTAACAGAGACTAATCGGGCAGAATCTTGAACTAGAGGGAATGGAATTGAAATTGGCTAAAGGATCAAAGCTTCCTGGATTTGAATGACATAATAAACAGTACATTTAATGAAGATTATTTTGGCATCTATAATATGTGAGATATGAACCAGGTCAGAGGGATGCTACAGTTAGAACGCACTGAAAGAGGGATGCCTGGATGGCTCAATCGGTTAAGTGTCCTACATCAGCCCAGGTCATGATCTTGCAGTTTGAGTTCAAGCCCCACACCGCTCAGGGCCTGGAGCCTGCTTCGGATTCTGTGTCTCCCTCTCTCTCTCTGCCCCTCCCCTGCTCATGCTCTGTGTCTCTCTCTCTCTCAAAAATAAATAAACATTAAAAAAATTAAAATATCCTTTAAAACAAATACACATTCAAAGAACTATAGACCAAAGGATTCTGTGGATGACTGTGAAATTGGAAAACAAAACAAAACAAAACCAATAACTATCTTTACAATAAAGATATGGCAAACAATTCAATAGGCATACCCCATATTTTCAAGATATTTAAATAAAAGCTATACAGGAATACTATTCATATATAAAGATGCTAACTTACCATATTTGTCTCGCAAACCAACAGTACATCTAAAGACTCCACCAAAGGCAACATCTTCACCAAATATTACTGAAAAACAATGTTTAAAGGACATATTTTATTTGATAAGCCCTAAATGATACTAACAATGAAAAATAAGTAATTTTCAATGTTTACATTTTAAATCAGAAAACAAATGGATTAAAGGTTTAAAATAAGGTTTTGACCCCTCTGGAAAATAGTGTGGAGGTTCCTCAAAAAATTAACAATAGAACTCCCCTATGACCCAGCAATAGCACTGCTAGGAATTTACCCAAGGGATACAGAAATGCTGAGGCATAGGAGCACATGGACCCCAATGTTCATAGCAGCACTCTCCACAATAGCTAAAACATGGAAAGAGCCTAAGTGTCCATCAATGGACGAATGGATCAAGAAGATGTGGGTTTATCTATACCATGGAATACTACATGGCAATGAGAAAGAATGAAATCTGGCCATGTGTAGCAACATGGATGGACCTTGAGGGTGTTATGCTGAGTGAAATAAGTCAGGCAGAGAAGGACAGCTACCATATGTTTTCACGTTTAGGAGGATTGGGAGGAACTTAACGGAGGACCATGGGGGAGGAGAAGGGGGGAAAAATAGTGGGGGAGAGGGAGGGAGGCAAACCATGAGAGTCTCTTGAATGCTGAGAACAAACTGAGGGCTGATGGGGGTAGGAGACAGGGGAAGGGGGGGATGGGCATTGGGGAGGGCACTTGTGGGGATGAGCACTGGGTGTTATGTGGAAACCAACTTGACAATAAACTATTTAAAAAATAAACAAATAAAATCAAATAAAATAGGGTTTTGAAACTTCAACATTACTGACATTCTGGCCTGGATAATTCTTTTGTTGTAACAGCCTGTTCTGTGCATTGTAGATACACAGCAGCAACTGCTCCCTACCCCGGGGATGACAGTTGCCCTCCCCACACACACAGTCCTGACAGCCAAAAGTGTCTGCAGACATTGTTAAACATGAGAGGAGGAAGGGGGATTAAAATCACTCCAATTGGTTAGGAACCACCGATCTAGGATGTCATCTTGTTTAACCCTTGAAGAAAATGAAGCCAGAGAAGTAGTACGGTAACTTGACAAGTCAGAAAGAAAGCTAGAGGCAGAACTATGACTCACACTTCAGGCTCCTGAGTGCCTGGCCAGTGGTTTTCTTTCAGACATGGTATACAGTGAAAGGAAACAATCTGAAGGGCTGAAGGAAAAGCATTCCAAGCTGAGAGAACAGTCACAAACAGGAAAAGCACTTAAACCATGTGGAAGGAGGCAAGTATGGTGGGACAAAGTGAGCAAGGCAAAGAAGATAAAAATGGGTGTTCAAAGAGCTGAATTCTATTCCTATTAATGCACCTGACCAGCTTTGTGAACCTCAAGGGAACAATTCACCCCATTATTTACTCAAGATCATTCTCAGACGGCACTGAAACAAAGCAAAATCTAATCATCCACTACTGTAGCGCTTACTTTCTCCTAACAAATAATCCATTCTTCACTTGACCTTAAAACTAGGGATTTTCAGAGGCACCTGGATGGTTTAGTCAGTTAAGCGTTGGACTTTGGCTCAGGTCATGATCTCACAACTGTGCTGACAGCTCAGAGCCTGAAGCCTGCTTCAGGTTCTGTGTCTCCCTCTCTCTCTGCCCCTTCCTCGCTGATACTCTGTCTCTGTCTCAAAAATAAATAATAGGGGCGCCTGGGTGGCTCACTTTGTTAAGTGTCCAACTTTGGCCCAGGTCATGATCTCATGGTTCATGGGTTCGAGCCCCACATCGGGCTCTGCGCTGACGGCTAGCTCAGAGCCTGGAGCCTATCTTCGGATTCTATGTCTCCCTCTCTCTCTGACCCTCCCCTGCTCGCACTGTCTCTCTCTGATTCTCCAAAATAAATAAAAAACATAAAAATTTTTTAAATAAATAAATAAATAATAAAACATTTTTAAAAATTAATTTAAAACACTAGGGATTTTCAAGTGGAACCCCAAGGTATACTAAGTGTATATATACTTACATATACTAATACATATAAGTAAAGTCAATCAAATTTAGAAAACATAAAGCAGGACAACTGTTTTTGTATCAATGATTAAATCTGATGAGCTGGTTATTTATAAATATTAAAGTTACTTCCAAAAAATCCTATTACTTAAATGTATTTCAGAGGAAAGCATGGAATCAAATCTTCATTTCATAAACAGATTCATAAATCTGAATGAAGTGATACTTCCCATTTTTTCCTAAATGCTGGAGAAACAGAAGTCCCCAGTAGGTATTAATCCAGAAAGTATTAGTATAATATCAGAACCACACAGACTATGGGAAAAAGTTGACTTAAAGATGTTACATATACATGAGAACTAATTCACCATGAATTGATTTAAAAAGTGTGTTAACAGCATAATTTGATATATTAACTTTAATCATTTGGTCAGATCTTTTTAAAAAATTTCAGGTAGATATAATGTTAACCATTGAACTCCAGACTCAATATTTCCAGCAAATTTTTTATTTGAATTAACACAACTACCATATTCAAGCACAAAGGAATTTTACCTGCAGTAGGATCTTTAGCCAATGAGTTATCCAAGGCACTTGTTATCGCCTGGAAAAGATTCATTTTCTGAGTTTGCCCTGTAAAAATTTAAAAAAAATAAGAATATTTCCTACATTGTAAAATATATTAAAAACAACTAGTTTCTTAACAGTTGATTACAACATGCTTAAAATCAACATACAAAGGAAAGTATAGAATATACCATGTGAATTTATTGGATTATTCACTATGATGCTGGTTCTGTGGAAAATACAAAAGCAATACAGACTTCGGTGCTTGACCACGAAACAAAATTTTCACGTATCAAACAATTAAAAAATAAAGTATAAAAAAAGGGAAAAATAAATATAATCAAGTCACCAAGTGTGTGCAGATAATAAATAAAAGCCAGAAAAGAGAACTAGCCAGAGTAAAAGTGGTCTGGGATGATATTTTGGACACGTGTTGAGAAAACAAGCCCTAGGGACGCCTGGGTGGCTCAGTCAGTTGAGCATCCCACTTCAGCTCAGGTCATGATCTCGAGGTTCATGAGTTCAAGCCCTACATTGGGCTCTGTGCTGATAGCTCAGAGCCTGGAGCCTGCTTCGGATTCTGTGCCTCCCTCTCTCTGCCACTTCCCCGCTCATGCTTTCGTTCTCTCTCTCTCTCTCTCTCTCAAAAATAAATAAACATTAAAAAAAAAAGAAGAAGAATATAAGCCCTGACAAATACATGTGACTCAAGGCATGTGTTAAATATTCCAGTAAGAGCAAATGGTCATGGGCCATAAGACAATGAAGAAGGCTAATGATAAACTTCAGTACTCAGAACTTGCTAGTGTTTAGAGAATACTATATATACTCCCATGCCTCGACACACCAGACTCGGTCCTTCCTACTGTCTCACTGCTCAAGTAGAATCTCTGCAAGCCAACTTCTTCCTAAAGAGGTAGACAGGATGGTTAAATAGGACAATACATGTAAAGCAGTTAGAAGTGCCTAACACAGTAAGTGTTGAACAAATATGAGCTATTTATTGTTAGAATCTGCACTTTGTCCGTGACCTTCATCTTGACTGTGGCATTATTCTGAATGGTAGAAAACTTTGTTTAATAAAGTTCCAAATGTTGAAACTCAGAAACATCATTACTTGAGAGCTTTAAGTCTTGGTGCTGCCCAGGACCCACAGATATCTCAGAACTTTAGGTCAGCTCCTCTACAAAAGCACTCTTCAGGATGGAGAGAGGCTTCTCCTGAATCTTCTCTAATCCATAGGCCATCTTCATTTTCACCCATAGCCAGCCACGCTGATAGCAAATCCCTTGAACACCTGCTAATTTCCCTGACTACTGTCCCATCTAACCTCTGAACTTCTCGGTAGCCTGGTGTGTCCCAAAAACCAAGGTCTAATTCACAGTGTGGGTCACAACAGCTACTGCTGTTGACATCAACCCTGTGGTTGTGACACAAGCTGGTCACTTACCCTTTTCCTGGAGACTCATCTTCATCCCAAGCCCAGCCTGGATCCACAGCAGGCTCTGATCTAGGACACCTTCCATCTTCCAATATCCACCGACACCCAACCCTCTGACTCAACCTGCTGTGACCAAAGACATCTCTCTGACCCCTTCCACACTGCTGAATGACCAGGCTTCAGGTCTTGGCAACACCCACTCAAACCTCAGCAGGCTGCCATCTGTGCCAAGAATAAACGCCTGTTTCTACTCTTACTTTTGGTGGGGATAATAGGAATCCATTCAAGAAAGTAAAGTACTCTCACGCTACATAAGCCAAAGGATATAAAATCCACATATGTCCGTGATGACCTCAAAATTTATTTTTCTTCAGGCTAAGACTATATCATTTAATAGATGCTTGCCTTAAATCCTTCTCCATTCTATAAAAACTCTTTAATAGTGTTTATTGGTACCCAGCATCAGATGATAATGGTTTAGAGCAAACTTTCCCATTCTTTCTCCCATTTCACACATTTCCTAAAGTCAGATTTGTTTTTCTATTATGATTTTCATGGCTAAGAATCTAAGAGGGATAAAAATGCCTAAACATCTAAGGTGGCATTTATTTCAAGCATGCTGGCCATCTGAATTAATCCTGAATGCATCCAAGACATCTTATTTCATTTCTATTCAACAAATTTTAAGTGCAAAAAAAGCAAAGACTTAAACAATAAAAACACACCAAATAAATCTGGAAAGTATTGCTTAATTACCACAAAGAATTTACTCATCTAGTATGAAAACAATTGATAAGTAAGAGTATTTAAGGGTTTTATTTCGATGTAAGCACAAAAACTTCCACTTCTGAATACTTTTTCAAATAGATTCAAAATTTTAGGGGTTTAGATTAACTGCTATTCTACTAGATGCTTTTAAAAGATTTCAATAATTTTAATACAGTAACATCTACTTCCAATTATTTTTAAAGTGGCAGTATGGTCTGTGAACGTGCCAGGAAGAAATCACAAATTATTCATAGGTAGGATCATTTTAAATATTTATTTCCTTTAGAATTACTTATTCTCCTACATGTTAAAGACCATTGATAACATAGGCCTATGTGCCATCATGACAAAGGATGTACCTGTAACACATCTAACTATGAGTGCTAAAACATTATTCAACACTGCTGCTCAATCATGCAACTACCAATATTAGTAATGGCTGCTAAGCCAGACTGACATCTCTTCTTTCCCAGGGAAAAAGTTATAACAAAACAAAAATATACACAACAGTGCAATTTCCCTAAACAAGGATACAAGCTAATGGGCACGCATTGGTAAGACACAGCTTTAGAGCCGGAAGTGAACTGCTCTCTTGAAATTATCCTAAGCAGAGCATGTGAAAAAACAGGCCATCATTACTGCTGCAAAGATACAGTAGCAAGTAATGCAGGGTTAGCGGAATATAAGAAACACAAGAGAACATAAGCCCTAAGAGGTCACGAACTCTTAATCTGTTTTTGATCAGCGGTATATGCTCAGTGCTCATGACAATGTCTGACATGTAGCAGATGCTCAAAAAATATTTGGGGAATGAATGACTGAACAAATGAACTTATGAGGCCTGCTCAATAAAGATAAAATCTACAAAGTAAATTGCTAATCAACCATTTATTTATTTATTTTTACAAATAGTTTATCGTCAAGGTGGTTTCCATGTAACACCCAGTGCGCATCCCCACAAGTGTCCCCCTCCATGCCCATTTCACCCCTCCCCCCCTACACCCATCAGTTCTCAGTTTGTTCTCATCATTCAAGAGTCTCTCATGGTTTGCCTCTCTCCCTCTCTCCCACTATCTCCCCCCTTCTTCTCCCCCATGGTCCTCCATTAAGTTCCTCCTAATCCTCCCATACGTGCAAACATATGATATTTGTCCTTCTCTGCCTGACTTATTTCACTCAGCATAACACCCTCAAGGTCCATCCATGTTGCTACACATGGCCAAATTTCATTCTTTCTCATTGCCATGTAGTATTCCATTGTATAGATAAACCCACATCTTCTTGATCCATTCGTCCATTGATGGACACTTAGGCTCTTTCCATGTTTTTGCTATTGTGGAGATTGCTGCTATGAACATTGGGGTACAAGTGCTCCTATGCATCAGCACTCCTGTATCCCTTGGGTAAATTCCTAGCAGTGCTATTGCTGGGTCATAGGGGAGTTCTATTGTTAATTTTTTGAGAAACCTCCACACTGTTTTCCAGAGGGGCTGTACCAGTTTACATTCCCACCAACAGTGTAGGGGCACCTGGGTGGCTCAGTCAGTTAAGCTAATCAACCATTTAAAGAGAAAAATACAATAGGATAAAATACCTACCAACATTACAATTCAAAGTTAGACTACAGGAGAAGGGGAATGAGGCAGAAGTGAGACTGCAATGGCATCTTCAGTTATTGTGAATAACTATTCAGTATGTGGTAGCATTGAAGAGAGAAGCCTTCCACAGAGCTAGAGCATCTAAGACATAAAGGGCAAATGAATGCTCAAGGAGCAGTCTCTAGGAATAAGTCAGGTCAACAGCAGGGCATGTTTAAGAGGAAGTGTGTTTGTAGTTAGATCCTGAACAAATAAAAACACACAGCTATGGGGGCACCTGGGTGGCTTAGTTGGTTAAGCATCTGACTCTCGATTTCAGCTCAAGTCATCACAGTTTGTGGGATCAAGCCCTGTGTTAGGCTCTGTGCTCTAAGTACGGAATCTGCTTATGATTCTCTCTCCCTCTCTCTCTGTCCCTCCCTCCACTCACGTCCTCTCTCTCTCTCTCTCTCAAAATAAATAAACATTTTTTTAAAATACACAGCTATGATATGGAAAGTTAAGGTCTACTTCCAGAAGCCAAAGTTTCTGCCAGCACATTCAGCACTGGCCCTTCTCTAAGCTGCCTCGTCTTTGGTATACACGTACAACATTTTCATGTCATATCCCTTAGAAACCTCAGTAATTAGTGTCTAACACAAACATGGCAATCAGTATATGCTTGTTGAAGCATGATGGATGGTTTTAGTGGGATAATCTGGCATTAACCACACTGTGAAATGGAAAGATGCCTAAGAAACTACCTATTTTCTCTCAACAAAACTTTTTCTACCCCTCCAGATGCCTGTTCATCAGGAACCCCTTTCTTTCTATGTGCCAAGTATGTACCTCTAACCCACTCTAATCCTTGTTACGAGGTTTCCCAAACTCTAACCCATAAAGTAAGTTTCATAAGTATCCAAATATGAGGGACAGGACCTTTTATATTAAGATATAAATGATCTACAAACACAAATGCCCTTTAAGGTGCCAGTAAAGGGGGAGTGGACTGCCGCCAGAGGCCAAAATTGGAAGGACCTAAGAAAGCCTTAAAGCTACAGAGACTATGGCTAGGAGCCCGGGGTCCCCATCTCAGGACACCGGGGAACTCATGTCATGGTATGACAAACTACAGTTGTTTCCCTCCCTTTAGCTCGAAACTTCTCTCCTCAGTCTCTAAATGCTTGTTAAACTCTTCTGTATGCTGGCCACTCCCAAATGAGTATCTCTAATTCAGACTCCTCCTCTGAATTCCTGACTTATATCCAACTACCACCAATTTCCCACTCCAGTGTCAGGTTTTTCTAACTCAGTAAGCTCACCAAAGGCTTCGTGTCTTCTCCCAAGACCAGTCTTTTGCATCTTAGCAAACAGCACCATCCTCCATCCAAGCATCCAGGCCAGAAGTTGAGGAAGTATCCTTGAATGTCTTCTTTTTATTCATTCCTTATACTCAATCCATCCAATCCTGCTTCCAAATAGATTACTTCCAACATATAGCTTAAAGTCTAGTACTACCAACCATGTCCTAATTCCAGAACTCAGCATGTCTTTCCTGTTTCTGAAAACACCTCCAAATAGCCTTAGTCAGCTCTAGCTTCTATAGCAAAATACCACACAGACTGTGTGGCTTGAACAACAGAAACTTATCTCTCAATGTTCTGGGGGTTGGCAAGTCCAAGATCAAGGTTAGTTGCTGAAGAAAACCCTCTTTCTAGTTTGCAGAAGGCTATCTTCTTGCTGTATCCTTGCAAGGTAGAGAGAGAATCTCTCTTGTGTCTTTTCTTATAAGGGTTCTAATCCCAATCACAAAGCCTCCACCCTCATCACCTAATTACCTCCCAAGGACCCGATCTCCACATACAATCACACCGGGGATTAGAGCTTCAACATAGGAATGAGGGGAGGGAGAATGACAAATTCAGTCCAGAGTACCACCTCCTCACTTCTACTCCTTCATCCCTCATTCATCAAAGAGCTGCTATAATAAGTCCTAAAAAGCAAGGCATGTCACATTACTCCTCTGCTCAAAATCCTTAAAAGTTCTCTGACTGCACTGGAATAAAGCCCTACACCTCACTATGTCCACAAAGCCCTGCTTGATTTCATCCCTGTCCACTATAAAAGTCCCATTGTGTACCACTGTCCCCAAGGCTCACCACCTGAGTCTTCTCTCAGTTCCACCAAACCAAGCTCCCTGCTACATCAGCACCTTCACGCATGTTGGGTCCTCTGCCTGACCCCTCCTTCACACCTCCTTGGATACCCCTTCCTGATTGCTTAGAAGCTGGTTAAATACTACCTCTTCTTAGGGGCCTGGTTAGATCTCTATTGTTCTCTTTCCTAGCACCTGAACATGTCTTATAAGTCATTTATTGCAATTGGGATTGATTTAAGTATGCATTTACTTGCTATATTTTGTCCATGTCCCCCATCAGACTTCAAATTCCATGAGGACAGGTCCATATCCACATTTGTGTTTTGTGAGAAGTACTTAGCACAAAGTTTGGCATCCAGGAGAAAATTAAAATGCAAAGAATGAATAAAGAAACCTACACACACA